ATTCTAGTTTTTCCTCTCTTGGCACATTGAAAATATTTATCCACTGGTTTTAGGCTTCCATTGTTGCTGTTGAGAAATCAGACGTTAGTGTAATTGTCATCTTCTGTAGATGATTTGTCATTTTTCCCCTCTGGTTGTTTTTAAGACCTACCTTCTCCGTGGTTTTCTGCAGTTTGACTATGACATGGGTTTATATTTATGTATTGTTTTATGTTCTAAGGATTTGTTGGGCTTCCATACTTTGAGGAAAATTCTCAGCTTTTACCTTTTTCAATATTACCATTTCTCTCTTTTCTCTCTTCTCTGCCTACAACTCCAGTTATATATATGTTGGACTTTCTCACTTTTATCTTCCTTGTCTCTTCCTCTCATTTTCATATTTTCTGTCTTTTTATATCATCTGGGCATTCTCTCATCATCTGTCTTGTAATTATTCTTTTTTCAGTCCTATCTAATCTGTGAAGTTTCCTAATTTCAATCATTATATTTTATTCATTTCTAGAATTTCCATTTAGAGTTCTTTCACTTCTTTTGGCCATTATTTTTAGCCTCTCTTTCTCTCCTTTTCAGTTTCTTATTTCTTTTCATGTAGTTTTATATACTTATATTCTTTGACTGATAATTCCAGTATTTGAAGTCTTAGCTTATCTAGGTTGCTGACTCTTGCCCAATGCCTTTTTTCCTTTTATATTTATTATATATATTAAATATATATTATATATATTAAATTATAATATATATTTTATATATTTTATATTTTGAGACTGATCTCTTATTCCTTAGAATTTTATCAATAAATGATAAGATTGGATTGAAGATATGTTCATTTAGAGAGCATTCAGTTTGTTTCTCTGCAAAGCAAGAGGCACTGTGTATAAGAACCACTTTTCTTTCGCACTAATGGGATGTGTGTATGTATGTGTTTGCACATATGTGCATTTGTATTTGAGATACAACTTACATGCCATAAAATTCACCCCTTTAAAGTATATAATTTAGTGGTTTTAGTATATTCACAAAGTTCAAGATAAAATATATCCTTGGCTTGAGGTTTAGACAATACAAGTATTGTGAATTTGTGCTGCACACCCACATGAGGGCTACCTTTCTGGTTACAAATTCTTGAGTGAGATTTATTTTCCTTCACCTAAAACCAAGACCAAAGGGCCACTTTTCCCTGCTGTCCCCCTTCTTCAGGGCAGATTTTTTTTTTCTATGTGTCTTACACCCATGGTATAGCCCTGGTCCCAGCTTTATATGGTCTGAGTTTTCTCTCAGACTCTCTCCTTAAGAGTTTTGTCTCCTATCTCTTACATCCTCTTGATAATCAGATCAGAAGTTCAAGCTCACAGAAGTTGAGCAGGTACCCTAGGGCAGCTCCTAGCTGCCAGGAATTAGCTCATTTTTCTGAATTCCAGCTCTTGGTTCATATTTGGCCTTAGAAGATGTGATTCTTTACTTACTTGCCAATTCAGTAATGCATTTAGAAATATTTTTTAAAAAACATTTTATTTAGCATATTTGTAGTGGCAGGATGATCTGGGACAGTGCAAGACTACTATCTGCCTTTTTTTGTTTTGTTTATAGGGTACATTTTTTTCCTTCTTCCATCTTCAGTCACCCCTCCAGGGAGACAGCATAGTCCAGTGCTAGCCATGTCTTGTCTTTATGGCCATTCTGTACCTTCCAAAGACTGCAGTGGAATTCCTAGGGACGTTCCCAGTTCTTTGAAGAGGGACATGTTGCTGCTTCCTCAGCCATGTGAGCCTCAGAGGCCCAACAATAGCCAAGTTCACACTGATCTTAAAGTTTTAATAGAGCACAATTCATGTTCTTCCTTTGCTCATGACATACCAGCTTCAGGGCATTGGTTTCTAGTTGTCTACCTCCCCACAATCACTTTTTTCTGGCTTCTGTTAAGAACAATCTCTCTTCATTGTGCCCAGATGACCAGGAGGATAGAGAGAGCATCCTCAGCCCTTTTCACCTTATCTGGAGAGGCCAGTTTGCCTTGCAGCTAAAATAGGAAGATCAAAGGGCACATGCTGTATGGGTCTCTGGTCTCAAGTTGAAATTGTGGACTTGGTGGCTGCCCTAGGAAACCCCTCTCCATATCCCATTTTCAGGTGAATGGGGGCCTTGCCTGTCTGGGCCTGGGCCCCAGAGGAGCCCAGATGCCTGGCAAGTCTCTCCCCTTTTCAGGAAGTTTCTGTTAATTACCACTTACAGGAAACAGAATAGGAAGCATGAAAGCAGCAGTTCTCAAGGGATTTGGGGAGAAAAGGGTTCCCTTAGGAAAGTTTGTCAGAATCTCTTATAAGAGATTTAAAAATCACCACCCCTACAATCCCAATAAGTGAGCCACACTTCTGGTAGGAGTGGACCAGAGTGGGGGAAATGCTGGGAACCGTTGACCTAGAACTACATTATCCAGTTTTGTAGCCACTAGCCACATGTGGCCATTGTGCTCATAAAGTACAGTTAGCATCATACTCTGAAATTTACAGGTGTGATGCCAAAAAAAGAATGCAAAGTATCTCAACTTTTTATATCAATTACATATTGAAATGCTACTATTTTGAATGTCAAACTATGTAAAATATGTATTAAAATTAATTTCATCTGTTAGTTTTTTTTAAGTCCAACCATGAGCAGGGGAAGGGCAGAGAGACAGGGAGAGGGAGAATCCCAAGTAGGCTCCAAGCTGTCAACGCAGAGCCCAATGTGGGGCTTGAGCTCATGAACCATGAGATTATGACCTGAGCTGAAATCAAGTCCGTTGGGCAACTGACTGAGCCACTCAGGCGCCTCTCATCTGTTACTTTTTAAAATAAACTTACAAATGTGGCTTGCAATTGTGTCTTACTTTATATATCTCTTAGTGCTGATCTAGAAGATAACTTGTTCCTTTTGGGAAAGTGTGAGTGCGTGTGCCTGTGTGTGTGCATGTGTGCATGTGTGCCTGTGATATTTTGAGCTGAACTGTAGGCTCTGCCTGCAGCTGCTACTGGTCAGATGGCTGGCCATTTTTTTGCCTGACTCATACAGACAGAAATGACTTCATTCATTCCCACCAAGGTCTCTCAACAGTGCCCACAGCCCCTGATCCTACGCAGAATGAAAAATATCCTTCCCAAATGAGGAAAATAAAAATAGGGTTTTAAGGGAGCCATGTAATCAGCAATAACTTTAAATGGTCCTTGTCCTCATTGCTTTCTCTAGAAACTCATTAAACTCCGTGCCCTCCAATTAGCACATGTATTCCATATTAACTTCCATATTAGTTTGTATATCCAGGGAAATGGCTCTTGGAATGTTGTTTGTGTTTGGGTGTTAGCTCCAGGAGCTGGCACCCCTGCAGTGGCGGGCTCCCACTTCCCAGCCGTGGCTGCGTCACATGCAGACATCTTCAGAGTCACAAGGCAGCCTTTTGGGTTGGGTTTTGGTGTCCCACCAACGTGCTCTGACTCTGAACCCCCTGCCTTGTTAAATGACACTTGGTTCCACAGATGATTACCCCTGTGCCACTTTCCCCTCAACTTTCACCTGATCCTGATGTTTTTACCTCATGCCCTCTCTGCTGTCATCTTGGGTGCTATGGCAGAATATGACCACTTCAGTATATTTTCTGACTCATCTAAATCCATCCCTAATTTATAAATGTCAAATAGTGGTCCGTACTAATAACCAACCTCTTCTTCAGCACCCCTGCAGCAGAACTGAGGGGGAACTGGAGGATTTGTCCTGCGTGTTGTGCACAGCTGAACGCTCTGGAACTTGGACGGGGAGCAGGCTGTCTGATGACTTGGGCAAGGAGTATGACCCTCCTCCCCTGGGCCTCCTCTGCCTCCTGGGCAGAGCCGGGAGAAGAGACATTGTGCAAGGGTTGAATGAATAAGGGCATGTCTAGAACTTATATCCATGGTTGGCATGCACACACATACATGATTGCTGTTATTTTTCTTTAAGAAAATGAGTCTATACTCTCAACTCTATTTTGAAACTTTAAAAAAATTTTTAGTGTTTTATTTTTGAGAGAGAGTGCTCAAAAATTTTTATTTTTGGGCAGGGTAAGAGCAGAGAAAGGGAGACAGAGGCTTCAAAGCAGGCTCCACACTGACAGCAGAGAGCCCAGTGTGGGGCTTGGACCCACAAATTGGGAGATCACTATCTGAGTTGAAGTCAGACACTTAACCGACCAAGTCACCCAGGGGCCCCTGAAACCTGTTGTTTTAACTCACTAACACCTGTAAAACATCTTTTTATAACATTTTAATACCTCATGGTGTCCTTTCATATGAACATACCACAACGGGTGTGATTGATCTGTGGCTGTAGGGTTTCTAGTTTTGTTTCTTCCTTCCTTCTATTCTTCCTTTCTTTTTTGCTATTATAAACAATGACAACATAACTATCAGAGCAGCTAAATTTTTGTTCACATTCTTGAGTATTTCCTTAGGATAAATTCAAAAAAAACAAAAGCACTGCATCAAACCTATTTACGTTACTAAGGTTTTGGTAATATTGCCAGATCCTTCACATGTTTTTCCGGAATTAGCCATGTCCCACCTCCCAGCCCCTGCCTGCAAGAGTAGGTGTCAGGATGGAGAGCTGCCAGCTTTCCCCGTCCTACCATGCAGGAGACACAATTCACAACCTTGGCGCTTACAAGTGCTTCCTTCCCTGTGCTCACACCTGACCTGCGCCCCCCACACCCCTCCCCAAGCCTGCCCGGACGCCAGAGCTTCAGGTCCTCTTCCCGGAGCCCCACATTGGTCTCCTTCTGTCCGTTTTCATCATTTTTTCCACTTACTGTAAAACTCAATCCTACATAGTATTGTTGCTTCACAATTTCTCCCACTACATTGTAGGAATAATTACTTTGGGGGAAAAGGAAAGGTGAAATTATTCTACCTGAATTCACTTCTTTACTGATGCATCTGCTCATGGCAGACTGAGAACTGGCAGGTTCTCACTGATCCGTGTTCGTACTGTTTCAGCTGCTCTAAGGAACCACTGGCCAGAAAGTAGCACTGAACCCCACATAGAAAATGTCACCGTTGATCAGAACCAAACGGACTTTTCAACAGTGGTCTCCAAGGAGGGTGGGATGACTCAGACCGCCAGAAAGAGCCACACGTCTTCAGATGCTCCAGAAGACTTCATTCCACAAACTGAAGCGGCAGATGCTGCAGGAAGAAATGACTCTTCCGGGAAAACAAATTTCACCATTTCCCCTGTTGGGCCTGACACAGCCACAGCTCTGACTTCCCAGAGCCTCACTATAGGTGAGTTTGTGCCAGCGATGCTCATTTCATTCGTGTATGTCTGGTCCTGGAAGGTGAAATATCTGCCCTTCTCCCTCTTCCCCATCCTGAGTGCCCATCCAAGGGTCCTGGGCTGGGGTGGCTCAGACCTGGGCCCTAGGGTGCATCTGTGGCATGCTGTGATTAAGTGAGTTATCAGCATAGACCAGCTGAGGGTGCAGATTTGCCTGGAGCCCGAGCAGTCCTGGGGAATTGACATTCCATGGCCAGACTGAATCCAAAGGACACCTGGTGATCGTGCCACATGCCACAACTGCAGAGATCCCTGATCTGTCTGGTGGGCTGCGTGTGTGGCCGCCCAAATGGTGATTCCTGCTTGAACCTGCATGGCTCGGTGGCTTGCCACTTCTAGCCAAAAGTTTCAAGGAAGGGCTAAGGGCTGGATGTGCAAGATTTGACTGAGGAAGGGAAGACACAGAAAACTGGCTCTCATTATGTACCTACTGTATACCAACATATCTATTCTCTCAGTTCTCACCACAAGCCAATGAGGTCACATTATTCTCATTTTAGGAGTTTGGAAACGGAAGGTAGAGAAGGTCATTATCTGAGGTGTATAGGTCAAACAACTAATAGGTATTAGAGCTGGGATTTTAGCCTAAGTCTGTATGTCTGAGCACGTAGGAGGATGGGTGAGGAGTGGGATGTGTGGTCACAGACCACGTGAGGAAAGGACAGAAGTGTGGTCTTTTTTCTGGGCTGGGAAGTTGGGCAGCTTCCCCTAGGGGAGTGTGCAAGTCACACATGGAAGAGAGGACGGTTGTGTGGATGGGGTGAGGAGGAATCATGGAGGACTTAGAAAACTGGGCAGTTTAGATTTGACATGGTAGGAAGAGTCACTGAAGGCTTTTGAACAAGGCAGTGACATGATTAAAGCGAATTTGGGGAGGATTCACTTGGCAGGCAGGTATAAGATGCCCGGGGTGGGAGATGGGGCAGAGTGAACCTGGCAGACATAGAAAGTGGACAGAGAAGTCCAGATGCCGGCTGATAAGGTCCATGGCCTGGTGGCCTCAGGTGGAAAGGAAGCAATTGGTAAAGACTCTTCACAAAGGAAAATTGATATGACTTGGTAATAGCCTAAAAGTACACATACGATGACACCATTAAAGATGAACCCCCTGGTTTCATGAGCTTGCTCCAGGAGGCCGGGTTGAGGGACTCAATTCTATAAAGAGTACGAATGACAGTATTTCGTGTTCCCTTCATGGCATGATGGGCTTAGAGCTTAGAGCTTAGACCTGCACATGATGCTGCCTGGGTTCGTTGGTCATCCAGATATTGGAAATTTTGTTTATGTTGAATTCACGTAAATAATTCTGGGACCAGCTTTGTGGAATGTGAGTGATGCATCGTGGTAATCAGAATCCGATCTTTGATTCCATATCGTCTGATACTTAGCTTCATTGTGCCTCTTTTGTAATAACCTCCCCACAAAATGCAGCCTTTGTTTGTAAGATCTGAAAACAGTCTTTGTCTTGGTTCGTGGTCTCTCATTCAGGAGTTAATTTTTCATAGAATGAATAATTGCTCCTAATTTCTTCTCATAGAGGTCAGAGATGAGCCCACTCAAACATTATTCAGACATTTGGAAGCCTGCTGGTGGAATTTTAATTGTTGCCGTCTACTTTCAGCGTTGGGAACTCTTCACTCACCATCCAGTTCGGGGTCAGAAGGCAGAACTGCCCCTTCGCACGCTGACAGCGGAACATCCCAAGGGTTCCTGGCAAGAGGAAAGGGGCTCCCAGAAGAAGTGACCATGCACGCCCAAGCGACTGCCACTTGGGGTTTCGGCCAATCCCCTCTTCCTACTTTGGAGATGGAAGAGGAGACCACAGTCTCCAGGAAGAGAAATTCCTCAGGACCAGTGCTCTCCTGGACACATTTCTCCAGGACACCGGCTCACTCCCCTCCCTCAGACCACCCCAGATGTGAGTGCTCCTAGCCCAGTCTCACATGCTGAAATCCTCCAAAATAGAAGTAGGAGATGCATACAGCTTGCTAGTAACATATCTGTCACAGGGGCTACGGGAGAAGACATTAATGAAAAATGTAAAATATTTGGAGGGATAGTCCCATCTCCACAATTTACCTTCCTACTGAAGTTTGTCTTTAAATTTTTTTTAATGTTTATTCATTTTTGAGAGAGAGAGAGAGAACGAGGAAGGGGCAGAGAGAGGGGGCGACACAGAATCCAAAGCAGGCTCCAGGCTCTGAGCTCTCAGCACAGAAAATAGGAGTTGGTCAGGTGGCTGCTCTGGGCCTTTGTGTCCCCCAACCCCTGCTTGTCCCCTCTCCCCTCGCATACAGGCACGTACACATCCAGCAGAGACTAAGTGTTGTTGGTGTGTATCCTTGCACCAGAGGCCACGCTCTCGGGTGAGTGAGATGGTGAGCACGGAGTCATTTGATTAGGAGTTAGATTTGTGTTTCTTTGTTATGGCCACATTGTGTATTGCAATGGCAAAGATAACACAGAGAGATGTCTTGCTAGGCCTCATAAAACCAAACCCAGACAGTGCAGATGTTTGCAAAGCTGCGGCGATGGCGATGGAGGACACGCCTCTCTGCCTTTTCACCTCCTCGTCATCATAGGGCCCCGCTCAGGCAGTTCCATGTCTTCGTGGAACTCTCTCCAACCCTCTGCTCCCTCATGCCATCCACCTTGTCACGCTAGGTTCTCCAGGACCTATCTGGTACCTAGTGTGCAATCCTCTTGAGGACACAGGCTGTGTCTGTTACTTCTCTTAGGTTCCCTGCCATCCCGGGACAAGGTACAGTTGGTAAGTGATGGCGATTGGCACGCACCCGCATATCACAGGGCTCATCCTGCCACGGGCCAAAGAGAATGCTAGAAACTCTGCCCGCCTTTTCTCTTCTCTGAGGCTTTATTCAGTCTGTGCATGTCTTAGGAAACAGGGCAGAGAGGGCTGGAAATATTCTTGGAAATAGAGGTTAGGTTGCTTCCAAAGTTGCCATTTCAAAATAATTGTAGGTCAGAGGTGTTTTAGAGGTGCTTTCAATACTAGGGGTTTGGGTTTATGTCACCAGGGCAAAAACAGAACCTCGAGGTCCTCTCTGTAATGCCTATTTAAAGCAGCCAATTCCTCCTCTATATACTTTGTATACAGTCTGCTAACTAGGTATGTATATAATTTATGGTTTGTGTGTTTAGGACATTCCTTTTAAGATTATTATTAAAACACTGGTCAGATTGGATAAAAGCTACAAGCCTTTCCAGCTGTAAAGGTCTGTGGTTCAGTGATTTACAACCAACTTTACTAAATGGTGGAAAGGAAGCATTTTCTAGGAAGCTACACTTTGATTCTGGTCAAGCTCATTTAATATTTATAATTTAAATTCAACCCACTATTGTGGTTTATTTGAAAATCAGCCCATTTCTAATTTTGGACTTGACCCTGTAGTCACCTGGATTTTTCAACATTAAAAAATAGTTGGCCTTCAAATTCCTTGAGCATCCATCCTTTAAAAAAATTTTTTTTGGTTTATTTATTTTTGAGACAGAGACAGAGCACGAGTGGGGGAGGGGCAGAGAGAAAGAGAGACACAGAATCTGAAACAGGCTCCAGGCTCTGAGCTGTCCCCACAGAACCCAATGCAGGGCTCGAACCCACAAACTGTGTGATCATGACCAGAGCCAAAGTCATACACTTAACCAACTGAGCCACCCAGGCACCCCAAGCATCCATCCTTTTCGAACCTTATACTTTTAGGGGCGCCTGGCTGGCTCAGTCAGCAGAGCATGTGACTCTTGATCTCAGCATTGTAAATTTGAGCCACATGTTGGGCATACAGATTACCTAAAAATAAAATCTTTAAAAAAAAAAAAAAGAACGTTTTACTTCTAATCGTTGAAGAGTTACACCAGATCTTTCCTCTCCTTGAGTCTTTCCTGAGCATCCCTCTTCCTTTTTACTGAACTGGGTGTTCTGTGCTGGGAAGAGGCCCACCTCCTTCTTGGATACTAGGCACTAGGGCCTACGTGGTGTTAAATGAGAGACTAGCCAGGCACCCAGGACCATCTAGATCTGGTCTGCCAGTCTCCTCTCCTCCCTGTGGGGATTCTGAGGAGGACATGCACAGAGACCTGAAGCAAGTTCTGCTTTTACTTTGAAATCTGGGCTACTTGATGCTAACCTGCTAACCAGCGTTCTGGTATACCTCCTACCCCCCCCATTCCCTTAGATCTAAATTCTGAGACTTTACTCTCCCTACCTAACCACAGGATCGAGGCACCCTAGGCACATGTGCAGGAGCACTGAGGAAGCCGGTCAGACTTGCCAGAGGCAGGCCAGGAGCAGGCCCAGCTGGCACCCTGTAGAAGGGAAGTTAAGAGAGAGTGAGGCAGGGGTGTGTGCCTATGACACTTGGCTGCTCCATCTACCAGTAACTGTGACCCAGTGGATGTCCTGGCACTTAGGCTGGTCAGATGAGCCGCGCTCCTCTGGAGGTGAGCATTAGCGCAGCCACCGGAGCCTGGCCCGGGGAGGTGGGGCTCCCTATTAAAAACATGAAGGGATTCGACCACATGATCTCAAAGATCCTTTCTAGCTCCAGCATCTGTTATTCCAAACAAACCCAGCCTTTGTGTTCTGTGCCTCCTTTCTTTCCTCACTCTGCCACAGAGAAACGTGCACGTAGCACCACCTCGTCTGGGGCCCGACTTAGCCAGGAGTTCCCTGCCTCCGAAAATAAATTGTATGCCAGGGATGTATGTGGTAAAGCAGGGATAGACCCAGACAGCTAACTCACATTTTTAAAAAGAGATCAGAAATCATTTGAAATGATTTTTCTTGCTGCTTTATATCTTTCTGTACTTTCCATATTTCTATAATGACCATGTACCATTTGATCATTGGGGGGAAATAAGTAAAGCAGCCCACAGGGGAAAATGTTCTCTTATAAAGGCAGAAAGAGATCTGTGTATATTGAATTGTGTGAAAATGGCTATAGTTGAGCACTAAATTTAGTACTGAGCTTCCTGGAAACCAGGGCACAAAGGGAAACCGGGTGGGGCATGTGATCATTGTCAGATAAAGTAAGCATACAGTTTCATCCACGAGCACAAGTGTTTTGGGGGCAGTGAATTCTAAGAGGACTATTTATATAAGGAATGTTGAGAATCGTGATAGAAGAATGCCATCAGTTGCTGTTTGGAGGAAATTGTGCTAATGTTCTTTAAAAGGTGATATTTTATATAGATTCTCAGTAGGAGCTGAGGGCGTAATAATGGATCTCAACTCATGAAAGTACTTCTGTGGGTAGCTGCGCTAATGTGGTCCAGGTAAATTACCTTGTGGTGATTTCACTTTGTAAAGGAAGAGAGCATAAATAACACAGAGGATTATAGACTTAGTGTATCTTTCTCAGCGATCAGCTGTTTCAGCCGATTTTTGGCAGGTTCTGGACAGCAGTCAAGCCAAGGTTGAGCACTCGCTGCATGCCTGAGGTTCCAGCATTTTCTGTTGTGGTTGGAGAGGGATGTATATACTTCTACCAGATGAGTGTGCATTCTTTCCACCCCCTGTTATAAAGATTAGGGAACTTGGCTTGTTTCTGCTCCCAACTGGATGGTCTTCCCATTTTTGGATGAGTGCCTCAAGGGTAGAAATGAGCAAGGAAGGGCAGTTATTAAATAACCAATATTGCTGGCCTGTCGATTGGAAATATGGCAGATTTCCCCCTAGATGTGTTCAGCAGGTGCTCATCGAAGAGTATAAATAAGTGGTGGTTATAGAGGTGCTTTTATTTTTTTCCCCTTTTACAAAGAGGCACCACAGGCATAGGAGCATTCACACTGCTTCATAGCTTTATCGTGAGGATTAAGTGAGGTTATGTAATCAAGTACTTAGCACAACGTATAAAAGTGTATATCAAATACGGCACATAGTGCTTGGTGAGTAAGTGGCAGCTTGGAATAATGCCGGTGAGATGGTGAAGCAGCATTCTGCAGGCTCTCAGTCAGAGTGAATACAGCCATTTTCCTTCCGTGGCTTTCAGCATTTGTGACTTCTGTAATTGTGTTTCTGTGACCATTGATTTGCTATACAGGTGTGGAGGCTGAGTCCAATACAACCGCCTCTGTGCAGTGAATCAATGAAGTAATGCTGTTGACTGGGGATAAAAGTGATTTGAAAGAGCACCCAGCAACCGAGGAGGATGTAGATGATGGTTCTAATGACTTAGGCCTGAGAGGCTAAGCAGTTAGTGAGGATTTGGGGCACGTCTATATGATGGGTTCCTTTTTTTATACTAATGTGTTTTTATTTGGTTGTTTTTGTTTTTCAGTAAGGGGGGGTTCAAGGTGGCTGGGACTCCACTTTGGGGTCCAGTCTATTTGTGTGGCTTGCTTACATCTTCATTTTGCTTTCATCGCAGCCCAGTGGCTGGAGCTGCCTGCTGTGTTCCAGGTATAGCACAGGTCCCATGGTTTGTACAAGAGTAAGAGGAGCTTTTGTTTCCTATGTGCTCTCTCTCTCTAATTATATCAATATTTATCTGTGCTTTGGTCACAAGTGCACATAGGACTGGTCTCAAGTGACCATTTATAATGAAATCTTAATTCTGCCCTTTCTGGGTCACAGATAACAGCATGAAACCTTTCATTAGATATAGAGTACTTTTTATTATTTTTGGCTTGAAAAGAAAAATGTTTTTTCTCCCCTTTGGATCTTGCCCGCCATGTTTCTTCCCACTCACCAAGCTTTCCTGCAGAATATTCCTGTTTGGAATGAGGACGTCAATGTGCCCTTCCGGAGGCCGGTTCTCAGGGTGTCCTTTGGAAAGTTCTTTGTGGAAGGGAGACATGAGCAAGCCACCTGTACTCCTGTGGAACAGACTGCATTTTGACCAAAATGGCCTCTCATTCCATTTTTGAGGTTCTTGGCAAATTAATCCAGTGTCTGCCATCCTGCCATCCTTTTCATCAGAAAACCAGTTCCCAGCCTGGAGTCCGTGACTTACTAGGGGTCCACTGGGGTAGTATGGACGCTTGAGAGTTCATGTCCAAAGCCTAATGAGGCTAACTATAATAACAGAGCCTATTTGCTTTTGGATGGAATTAAATCAAATCAGTGGGGTAACATTGAGTATCTCCTGCTGATTAGAAGCTCTGTTATTTCTTAAATGCAGTACAGTTAATGGTCTTTCAAAACATAAGGGTGAAGGTGGCCATGAGGTGGGAAATAATGAAGAACCCTTAATGGTGACAAGGCCAGAAATTATTGCTCGAGACTAATGTTATTCCCTCTGTGGTCTGCAGAGCCCTGGCATCCTCAGTGGTGACCTGGGGGCTGGGCGCCTTGAACTGCCTTACTTTTATTCATTTTTACGTATGTGTTTTATAGCATTTGAACAAAAGGATTACATTGCTAAAATAAAACAAAACAAAAACCTGTACCTTATCACAATGGCCTGTCCCTGCATGATCTGTAAGGTGGAATTCAAGAATAGAAGTTTTTACCTTCCTCTGTAAAAGCCAAGGCCAAGAACGTCTAAAGGCTTTCTCCCATTTTCCTTTCAGCCAGAGTCGAAGCTTTTCATTGTGCTTGAAGGACCTCACTGCTTCTTCCTTTAGCGCTGTGAGAATCAGAGCCTGTGAAGAGAGAGTGTCAGATATGTTTGTCTACATTAAGTCCACATTATCTAGATTTATCCAACAAAATGTAATAAACATTATTTGTATCTAGTACATCCCTGATTTTCTTAAACTCTTGAGTAGTCTTTTAAAAAATTTTTTTAATGTTTATTCATTTTTTTTTTTGAGAGAGAGATGGAGACCTAGTGTGAGTAGAGGAGGGGCAGAGGGAGAGAGGGAGACACAGAATCTAAAGCAGGCTCCAGGCTCTGAGCTGTCAGCACAGAGCCCGATGTGGGGCTCTAACTCGTGAACTGTGAAATCGTGACGTGAGCTGAAGTTGGATGCCCAACTGACTGAGCCACCCAGGTGCCCCTTGAGTAGTCTTTTTATTAAGTTTTTTTTTTTTTTTTAATGTTCATTTACTTTTGAGAGAGAGAGAGCATGAGCAGGGGAGGGACAGAGAGAGAGGGAGGCACAGAATATGAAGCAGGCTCCAAGCTCTGAGCTGTCAGCACAGAGCCTGACACAGGGCTGAAATTCACGGACCACAAGATCATGACCTGAACCTAAGTCGGAGGCTTAACCAACTGAGCCACTCAGGCACCCCCAACTCTTTAAGAGTAGTCTTAAAGTGTATTTCCTTCTGTTTTAGCTTCTGGAAGCACGGAGATGCTTAACAACTCCACTACGCTCCGAAGGGCTTTGGTGAATGGGACAGAGGGTGTGCATGTTACCACCATGCTCCCCAGTGGTGTCCCAAGGATGCTTCAGTCTTTAACCGGCAGTCCGCCACCTCTGAATGAGACAGAGCATTCCCCCGAGGACTCAGAAATTGCCACGACTTCAGTATCAGCCCGTTCTTCACCCTTTGAGGCAGAGTTGAGAAGAAACAGTGGAGTAATCAGGAATGCAGGGGATGGGGAATTCATTGAGCCATCCACAGAAGATGGATTTGTCCTCACATCTTCTGGGGTCTCAGTGGGATTCTGGCAAAATGACTCCCCAAGTAAGTATTTAATTTTTATTTGATCTATCACGGACATTTACAAACTATGGGATTATCTTAAAAGATCGAAGACCATTTGAAATCTCAAAAAAAAAAAATGCTGTATTCTTAGCTAACACTGTCTCCTTTATCTGGTATACCACATTATCATATTTTGACTTGCATCCATACGAGAACATTGTGAAGCTCGTCAGACAGGCATCATTCCTCCTGCTCTTTTATAGATGAGGAAACTCAGGCCCCGAGGATTTAAGAAATGAGGGCACAGTCATGTAGCTCACTTATGGCAGAGCTGGGAGCCCGGCCTCAGAGTGGTCACTGTCGACCGCATGTTATTGCCCTGTAGGATTGTCTTCAAAGTGAGGTCCGGCCTGCTCTTCCAGCTTTGTTGGAGCTGTTTTATATACAGATCTTTCTTCCAAATAAAATGTGCAGGCATAAATATATTCCTCCACGTTCATGGCTTCAGTATATGCCCTCTAGTTGATTTTTGGTTTGCTATACTTGAAAATTAGAATAATCTTTATTAATAACAGATTGTTTTAGAAAGATGCATGTGACTAAGCACTGTAGGTAGGTACATCATGTTTGTTGGACATAACGTACTCCTTCCCTTGACCACTTTTGGGGAAGAGAGTTAAACACCCAACCTGTGAGTTACTCTGCTACTTTGCACCTGCTCTTTAAAGGCTCCCTTCTTCACACAATGCTTATTTTTAGTATTGCTATCTTACTGACACCAAAGAGTTTTAAAATAATTACTTAGAATATGAAAATGCACATCAGGTTACACAGAAAATAAATACCATACAGGATCCTTGCAAAGGGAATCTTTCCCTAGAGAAGACTCACGTCTCAGTTGTTGGGAAATCTCTTTCACACCCATGTCATGGCATTTGTTTCCTTGACACCTTACAGCCTTGGGAGGAGACCAGCTTGCGAGCAGCTCGGACACACAGAATGGAAGCCCCATGTCTCAGACTGAGACCGTGTCTAGGTTGGTCCCGTCGGGCAGAAGTGGAGACAGCACAGCACGCTGGTTCTTGACCAACAGCAGGACAGTCACAGATGTGACAGGAAGCTCCACTTCCTATCCTGAAGTTGTGAATGCCTCGGTGTTGACCCAGTTCTCAGCCTCTGCATCCCAGTCTAGAGGAAGTGACACAACCCTGGGTGATAGGAGCTACTCTGAGCCAGCCACCGAGTCTTTGTCCTCATCCTCCTCAGAAAGTCTGGATTTCTCAGCACCACGTGATGAACGCTCAAGTGAGTTTCCACTTTGTAGAACTGCACGGCTCTGGGGGCAGAGGGCTTACGAGGCGCGTGCTCTTCTTTTCTTTTTAATGTTTATTCAGTTTTGAGAGTCAGAGAGACAGAGCATGAGTAGGGAGGGGTAGAGAGAGAGCAAGACACAGAATTGGAAGAAGGCTCCAGGCTCTGAGCTGTCAGCACAGAACCTGACTTGGGGATCGAACTCACGAACTGTGAGATCATGACCTGAGCCAAAGTCAGGCACTTAACCAACTGAGCCACGCAGGCACCCTGAGGTGTGTGCTCTTCTGTGGTACCATAAGGCTGTGTGTTAATGGAACTGCTCCAGAGGCCCCTCTGCTGTCACCATCTCCAGGCTATTCCTCTAGCTGTATATTCCCAATTCTTTTCTGGTACATCTCCCAGGAGCTGCTGTTGCCACCCGCCCCTCTCACACACCACTCGGGGACTTCTCTGGCCACATCCTTCCTGGCCCCGGAGCCCTCCCCACACCCCCATTCCTGCCTCGATCACACAGCTTCTGGGAGGGGAAAATATCACCTTCTCGTGGGTAGTTGTTCACCCCAAACCCGGGCATTCGTCAAGAGCAACTCTCCCCCTTGTCCAAACAGCTTTTATGGAGATATAATTCCCATTCTATGCAATTTGCCCATTTGAAGTATACAATTCAGTGTTTTTTAGTATATTTACAAAGTTGTGCAGCCACCACTACTAATTCCAGAGCACTTTCACCACCCCAGAAGGAAACCCGGTGCTCCTCAGCAGCCACTCCCTATTCTCTCCTCCTCCCAGCCTCTGACAACCACTTACTTTCTGTCTCTGTGGATTTCCCTATTCTAGACAGTTTATAGAGGAAATCATACAATAGGTGGCCTTTTGTGGTTTTCACGTAGCATAGTGTATTGGAGGTTTGTCCGTGTTGTAGCAGGTGACAGTACCTCGTTCCTTTGTGTGGCTGAGTACTGTTCCATTGCATGCATGTGCCACATTCGTTTAGCCTTCTGTCAACCATTGCACGTGTTGGGTTTTCCCACCTTTTGCCTGTTGTGAGTAGTAGGGTGGTGAACATTCCGGTACAAGTTTTTGTGTGGATGTGTGTTTTATTGTGTTATTTTTAAATTTTTTATTTTTTGGACATGTGTTTTAAATTCTCTTGGAATGGCTGGGTCATATGGCAGCCCTGTTTTCTGAGGAATCGTCAAACTGTTTTCCAAAGCGGCTGCGCCACTTTATATCGCCACCAGGAGTGGACGGGGATTCCGGTTTCTCTGCTTCTTCACTTCCTGTTGTTCATCTTATTTGATTCTAGTCATCCTGGGGGGTGTGAAGCGGTATCACAAGGGGTTCTGATTTGCGTTTTCTGGCTGACTAATGATGTTGTGTATCTTTTCACTTTTGAAAAAGTCTGTTCTGGTCTTTTTACCATTTTAAAAGTAGCTAGGAATTCCAGACTTGGACAGTATACCAGATATACCATTTGCAGACATTTCCCCCCATTCTGTGCGTTTTCTTTTCACTTTCTTGACAGTATCATTTGCTCCACAGGGGTTTTTAGTTTTGATGAAGTGCAGTTTATCAATTTGAGAAAACTTGTTTTTAGATGGTCCTTTTTAATAACATTTTTGGGTAATTTCATAAACCATTCTCAGCAACCTTGTCAATGTAAAGCATGTGCTGACTAAAGCGAAAATCCACTAATTGATCATTTAAGCTTATAACAGGTTTAAATTCTTACCTCTCCACCACTAGTAATAATAGCAGCTCCCTTTCCCCATATGAACATCCTAATTGATGAGGAAAACTCGCATTTATTACTACTGAGGTGATGCAGAAGAGCAGATGCTTATCATGAAAGAATACCACATGTATTTATTTATGCTCTTTCGTGTGTGCATGGAAAACGCATTACCTGTCTCCTAAACAAAAGGAGTCAATTTCCACCCTCACAATGTGGGGCTCAGCATTTCCTTCTCCTCAGACCAGGAGCTCAGGTGCCATAGCCTTCCCCACCCGCCTCTCCTCAGTACTAGGACCCTTCACTCTGTAGTGCGTGCACACTTGGCTTGTGTGGAAATTGTGATTCAGTGTGAGCAGGTCTTAGGGTCCAGTTATAAAGAGTCCCAAAAGGAACAACCTCCCTCCTGAAACCAGCTCGCTGTTGGTTAACCAAGTGCCTTGTCTCATTTGCTGTGAATCACTCAGAGTGGACTGATTCTGCCATCCAGTCCCTCAGTGTTCTTGGTCTGTTCCTTTGCCTGAGTTTAGATGCAGCTCCTCCATTTCAGGTGATGACTCTCTACTTCCTTAACCCTGGAAGCCTGATGGGGTGGTTCACCTAAATTCCATTTAAGAGTCTTATAATCCTCCCATCCCAGGCCTTGTCCCCTCTGTCCAGGGAACTTTGCTCAGATACACGCGGCCCTCAAGCCTCTCCTGGTGAACTGTCCGTGGGTCTCTTAAGCCCTTCAGCCTGGTCAAGTCACATTTCTCCCTGCCTCCTGGCTGCCTCAGTGCTGCTGTAGCTCACTGTGCATCCCTGTCCCCGCACATTCCGTCTGCCAGTTAATGCAAACCTATCATGAAGTGAACTTAACTAACATGCAGCCTTACCTCTCTTTCCCATTGGGGTGTGTCCATCAAGAGCTAGCTGAGGGCACCTGACTGGCACAGTCAGAGGAATGTGCGTCTCTTGATCTCAGAGTTGTGACTTTGAGCCCCACATTTAAGATTGTTTGAGCTTAGGGCATAAAACATACACCCAAGAAAGGAGGAAAAGGGTATGTTTTCATGTATCATCTGTCCCCATTCCATCCTCACTGAGAAAATAAATAAATTCATTTTAAAAAAAACAAAAATAACACAAAACAGAAAATAAGCCCACTTTTAACCTCCAACCACCAGGCATTAAGGGGAAAAACCAAAACTCTGAAAGAATGGCAAACCCCACGTCAGTTCAGTTATCACTGTCCTACCAGGAGGTAAAAGCCTTTGGGGTCATGGGGGTCTCCCTCCTGGGCCTTGTCAGAAAATCTAAAACCCCAACGGGGTTGTTAGTCTTTTGCCGAGTATTCACCTCCCCTGCCACCACCACTGACTTCCCTGAGATAAACTGTTTGTTGTGTATCACAGAGCAGAAATACAGTATTGATCCTGTTTGCTGAAGTGGTAAACCTTCCCATAAATCCAGGTCACCTGAGCAGATATGCTGATCGGCAGTGCCTCCTGAGGTGGTGGTCATGATCCGTGTTAGCAAGGAACGACACATCTTGGGTTCCCACGTGTGAGCTTCACATAAAGACCAGGGAAAGCACAGGAAAGCACTTCGGCTAATTTGGTGCAGGAAGAGAGGCTCACTACCGAGGCTTCTGACAGTGCTGCTCCACGCCTATACTGACGGCCATCCCCTCTCCATCTCCTTGTAGCCACCGAAGATGGTCCTGAGCCTGGAGGCAGTTCTGTCTCGGAGGAGGGGACTTCCGAGGCCCCCCACCCGCACACTGCAGCTACTTTCCCCGGGACCGCAGAGCGCACGCTGCGGTCTCTCACCAACGCAAGCACAACTTCTGCAGAAGTGGGGCATTCTGTGGTAGCCGGAGAAACCGAGAGTGCCACCCAGCAGGGGAACGTGACTGTGACTGGTGACACCCACCTGGTCTCAGGTTCCCTGGCTGCCTCACCAGCCCTGGGAGGTGAGGAGCGGGATCTCTTCCAGCATTTCTTCAGCTCACCTGTCAGTGTATCCCAGTCCTAGAAGGACTGCGTTTGCTGTCAACCCGGAAAGTACCTTACAAGCTCTGTCTGAAGAGAACTTTCTGGGTTCTCTCACTTCCCCCCACCTAGCCCCATACACACTTGCCTAAGGCATTTACAGTGTTGTCCGCCAGGACACTTGGAATAAAGGAGACCAGCCAGTTGTGGCCAAGGCCAGTCTCCTGGGAAAGAAATATCTCATTATCATTACACAGAATGGAAAATTGGGAGGGTTTTCCTTTTTCCATCTAGATATAACAATTGTTCTTCTGGGGTCTTAAGAGCTTTTCAGATACCAATTTGCTTTTATCAGAAAAGGCATGTGGAAGGAATTTGGACCTATTTATTCCCTATTCTTCAGCCCCTGGCCACTTCTCTTTTATTACCATTTCCAGTGCCACCACCCGCACTCCTCCCAGGAGAGTAAATATACTCCGCACAGACCCTGCCCATTCCTGCCTTCCCACACTGCTCATTCAGGGCACTCGCCATCGAAAACCACCTCTCCAAAGAAAGTGTTTAGTTTGTGTTTGGGAGATTTCTTGTTTGTTTAGTTGGCCTAACTTTGGTTTTTCCATTTGCAGTCACTGGAATTAGCTACGATCAAGTGCGTGGCACGGACTTTGAACAGAAGGTTTCCAGCGACTACACAGACCATACCTACGTCTCCTCTACTTTCACCAAAGGAGAACGGGCATTGCTGTCCATTGTAGACAACAGTTCATCCCCGGACATAAGGGAGAGTTCCACCTCTTCTGCTAAGATCTCAAACTCTTCACATGCAGACTATTCTTCCTCTTCTCAGGTTCAGACTGAAAGAAGCAATGTGTCATCCTACGAGGGGGGGTATGGCCAGCCTTCCACTGAGTCTCTGTCTCTGAGCACGGCCAACCTTCCATCCTACACACCCACCGTTAACGTGCCAAACACGGTTCTTCTGGACACTGATGCTAGATCGATTGGCAATTCTTCTTCTTCTTCTCCGGGGCCCCCTTTGCCCCTGCCCTCAGTCTCCCAGTCCCACCAGTCCTTCTCTTCAATCTTACCATCAACCGGAGCCTCTACTCTTCTGGTGCCGTCCACTCCCCATGCGCCCACACCTGTGTCTTCCTCACCAGCGTCCCTGACAGCGTCTACCCCGGCCTCACCGTCCACCTCCCAAGCAGCCCCACCACCTTCACCTTCTACCTGGGTCCTGCCTGTGACTCCAGTTCAGACGGCGACAGTGGCATTGTCTGTGGCAGTGCTCCCTGGTAGTCAAACAGCAGATCCCAAGAACCAGAGTAACCCATACCATGAGGAAGTTATTACAGAGTCAAAGTCGCTGAGCCTGGAGTCCCTGCCTGCAGAGGCCACCGGAGCTGGAACAGTGAGGTCTACATCAGGGATTCCTATGCCCTCGGCCTTAACAGGGTCCTCCACCGAGCACACCCTTCCACCCACGAGCACTGGCATAACCCGAACATCTCCAGGTTTCACAACCACCATTCCTGAGACCTCTCATCCCCCCACCCCTGCGTCAACCACAGCAGCCCTGATGGCCGACCCCACAACAGCCCATACTACTGCTGGAAAACAGCTCTTGCCAACCAGCCCTGAAATTCCAGCACCGCAAATTTCAACAGAAAGTGCTGTCACCACAGAAAGGAGCCAAGCCCGTGTAGACGCTACCACCTGGTTGGTGCCCCTGACCAGTGTACCCACATCAGCAAAAGGACTGACCACGGGGCTCAGTGTGACCGAAGAGTACAGCCCGGCTTCACACTTCCTCAGAACATCTCCTTCTCCCCAGACCACAGGCGTTTCCACGGCCAAAGTGTTGACTCCTAGACCTACGACCTTTGCTGCTCGGGGCAGCACGCGACCACCGACAGCACCGTCATCGGCAGCTCCAGGTAGAAGGTGGTCACACAAGGACACTGCGAGCTGCACAGGCTCGGGGTTCCTGTGATTGTGTGGCAGATTTGCAATAGTTCAGTGTCTGTGTTGTCCTCTTGTATCGTAAAGTCACACATGACTTAATTTGCTACCTCTGAGTTATCTAGCTCTCCCTAAAGAAAGAGGTGAGGATGCCACTGGCTGTGTGTGCTGTCAGTAGATAGCGCCACGGTGGCTTATAAATTCCCAAAAGTTCAAGAGCCTTTCAAGCCTGCCTTTAAGTCTTCCGAGGCCAGAGCGAGGCAGTGATGTGGGATTGGACGGTGGAAAAATTGCCATTGAGGAGCTTTAGGTGGCCCTTCTGAGACAGGGAGTGAGTAGGCCCTGTTCCCCGGTCAGAGCCCTGAGCCTCTCAGTCAGCCAGCCTCTCAGTCACCGGGAAGGCTTCTCTTGATTCAAGGGAGGCCGGGGCTCCTTGGTCTTCCCAAGAATCTGTTGCTAGTTGACAAATGAGGATAAAGGGATGATGAACTAACCATTTCCTATAGTGACAGGGAGACCTGAGCTCCTTTACATTGCTCTGAAGGTTATCGTTATATTCGTGTTGAAGTGGCTGGTATGAGGGAAATAAAACCATTCACATGATTCCATAGTTCAAGGAAAGGCTGAAGGAATTAGAACAGTGTATCTTTTGATGCCGTGTTCAAATTTGTACATTTGGCTTGTCCAAACCCAGGAAAAGAAAACTTCGAAGGGCTTATATGGAGCCTGACATCTTTATTTTCGTTTTTTAAATTAATTTTTTAAATCTTTATTTATCTTTGAGAGAGAGACAGAGCACAAGCGGGGGAGGGGCAGAGAGAGAGAGGGAGACACAGAATCTGAAGTTGCCTCCGGGCTCTGAGCTGTCAGCACAGAACCCGATGTGGGGCTCGAACTCGCAAAGCGTGAAATCATGACCTGAGCTGAAGTTGGACACTTAACCAGCTGAGCCACCCAGGTGCCCCTGGAGCCTGACGTCAGAAGGAAGGAGGAAAAAAGAAAAGCCCTTTGTAGTAACTAGAGCAGGGAGCTCAGTTAGTGTCCGAGTTCCAGCCAGTCAACCACGGTCAGCCTGGGGGTTGGAGGGCCATGACCACCCCTGCCGCCAGCCTCCCATGGCAGGCGTTTCAGTGTCTCCTTTGTGCCAGCAATTTGAACACCTTCAGGAAATGAAAGGTGGATCCTTCTCCAGGGAAGTTGGGAGCCCTGCTTCGGGATTCACAGGGCTTCGTTTCCAGCCAAATCTATTCCAATACCAGATGGAACATAATTCACAAATCTCCCTTAAAGCCGATTATAGTCATTACAATGGTAACTGTAGGTGAGAATAAGTGGCATCATTACTGGCTGCTAATATATTTTATTTTATGACAGTATCCACGGTACGGTGTCTGGTTATGCAGGCCCTGTGCCTCTGTGTGTGGTTTTAGGTATATTGAAAGTAGCCTTGCAAAATAGGAACACCGTCTTTAGGTTTCAACTCCCTTGTTTTCAGGGTTATTTTTTTGGCATGATGACTCTTGACTCCTACCTTCTTTTTTTCATTCTTCCAGTGACTTTTCTGCTTGGAAATCATGCAGTTATGTTGTGGGTTTTGGCTTCTCTGAGCACGTGTCAGAAGGATTTATGAGGCAGTTATTACATAACTGGAGCATGGCAGTGCTGGTTATAGATCCCAAAACAGACAGTTGTGGTCTCCGCCCCGGGAGTCTAAGATGATGCAGAAGCCTGGGTACCTTAGGACCTGGATGAACCAGATAGGGCTCATCGGCACATTATGTAAAGAGAGGTCAACGTAGTGCACATCGATTGTTTTTCCAAATGATCACACTGTATGTGGAGCCCCAGGTGTATTTTGAGATTATTTGGAAAGGGGGAATCATTGAGCAGGGAGGATGGTTAATCAGGACCCTAACTCTCCCTCCCTCCCCCGCCCAAACATGCATTTTAAATTGGCAGGGATTCAAGTAGAATTTTCTGAGTATCAAAGGCAATATAATCATCAGCCTTGAACTGAGCGACCTGTAAGCAGCATTAGGATTTGAACCAGTTCTTGCATCCAGAGACGCAATTGTCTAACGCATGTGCACGTACACAAACCGCTGCCAGGATCCAGTCCCTCTGCAGCTCTTCTGCACCTCCCGGGAACCTGTTCTATTTTAGTAGTGCGACCTCTCAGGGCAAGTAAACAGAAAGAAGCAAAAGTCAAATATTAGCCAGGAGAACTAAATATTTACCTAGAGCTGCTCTTCTATTTCCTATGTGATTAACTGCTTTATTCCTGGCATGTGTTCCTAGTTAACAGCTGCGCCCCTAACCCTTGTCTTCATGATGGGAAATGCTCCGTGGACTCCAGCAGCCGTGGGTATCGATGCGTGTGCTCACCTTCCTGGCAAGGGGATGACTGCAGTGTGGGTAAGAGGAAAAGTGCTCTCCACTGGTCCGTACCACAGTATGTCCTTGAGATAGGCAACAATGCTGTGTTCCTTCCAAATGTAGGAGAGTAAGATTTTCTGAAATTAAAACCCTGCTGATTTGAGAGTTGGCATACTTAGGTGTTGTCTGCGGAGTAGCATCAGACAGTAACACTGACACGTCTCCATGATCTGGCTCCATTTGGTGGGCTCCCTACTCCCCCACCGCACTGGACCCTCTACAGCTCCCTAAAGACTCCTATGCTTTCCCACTTCTGGCCTTCGCTGCCGGTGCCTCAACCTGCACCCCCACCCCCATCTGCTTTTTAAAGTCCTTCTGGTCCCAGTTGAGATATTTGAAATAGTCCTTAATTCTCCCTTCCATCGGAATCTCCTACTCTCTCTGTACTTTCAAATCCTGATTTGTATTTCTAGTTAGTCATTTACATGACGGCCTCCACCCACCATAGATAGGCAGCCCCTTGAGGACAAGGGCAGCTTCCTCCTCATCTCTGAGGCCCTGCTGCACCCATGCCATTTGGCCCTTAGGAAGGGCCCTCTGTGTGGGATAATGGTTCTGCTGCCAGCGCAGGTTCAGCGTGGCCCTGTTTTCTCTCCTCTGCAGACGTGAACGAATGCCTCTTGAACCTCTGCCCACCCCTGGCCACGTGCAACAATACTCAGGGATCCTATGCCTGCAAATGCCCGGTTGGGTACCAGTTGGAAAAAGGAATATGCAATTTGGGTAAGAGAATTCATCTATCTTGGAATTTATTCTGTACCACTATATATTTTTAAAAATAGCATTTATTGTTTTCCTACCTAAACAAAATCAGGATATTTTCCAAGGTGGAAACCTAAGGAATATAGAAAGAATTAAAGATGCTGCCTGTTTTTGAACCAGAGATGGAGCACCTTATTTGCAATCTTTTTACTGTGGATTATGTTTTTATATAATTGAAACCATGTGGTATTTGTACAAACATCCTATCTTAAATATTTTTCTGCATTATTACAAAAATTTTACAAACTTCCTAATGATTACGCGATAGTCCATTGTTTGTGCATAACACTATTTGCTTAACCGTTCCACCCTACAGTTAGGAAAAATATATATCAAAAGGATATTCTAACTACGTAGTAAAGAAAATTTTTTTAGGGAGAGAAAAAAGAGAGAATAAAACACTGATTGTCCTACCACATTCACACATTCTTTTCAGTTTTGAAAATGATCTTCATGGTCCTGGTTATAGGCAGATACATTTTTCCAAAGCTGCCATAATTGTACCATACAGATTGTCATATTTCATTCCCTGATTTGATAGTCCTGAAGCTGGTTGATTTTTAGATATAATCTCCAGCTTACATGTTACAAAGCAAACAGCCCAAATGAAAACTAAGGTCCTGACAAGGTGCTAAGCGGCTGAGCATCTACACCTGTTTGATGAGAGGCCACGTTCCAGCCCACAGCTCTCATCACATAATAACGTGTTCATCAGAAAAGCTTTCTTGCACATGGGGTATAACCTTGTGTTAGAGTGTTGAGTTCAACATGGAACTTGTCAAAGAAATTAGAAGTGAAGGGCATAGAGTTATCTACTCTGGGTAAGGAAACTGGTAGGTAAAGCAACTCATCTTTGATTGACCAGTGTGATACTTAACACACAAAAAGTGCTCAGTAAATTTTTTTTTTTGAGAGAATGAATGTCTGTGACCTTTGAAAAGTGATATTTGCATGAATTAACAGGTTGAGGGGAATCATCAGATTTTTTAAAAAGATTGTGTCAAATGACAAAACTAGAAGGGCTAGGTAATGAGTTTGATGCCTCTTATTTGAGGGAGAACAGTCATGGACTAGGGGAGTACGGGGGCCTCACAGGTGGTGGAGCTCTCTCCCGGAGAGGTTTTGGGCAAGCATGAGTTTTATAGTGGTAGAAGCGGCATTACTTCTGAAACAGGGCATGATCGGCTAGGCTTGTGTCTCTGCCCTTATTTCGAAAGATCAAGGATGATGGAGTAAGCATAGAGCCCAGAGTTGACTTGGCATTGGCAAATTGGCCAACTGCATATGCTGCGTTTCTGGTCACAGGGGGCATTTGCAGAACTTGAAAGTTCTGGCACCTTGGGCAGGTGGCACCTTGGGCAGGAGCAGCTCCACCTTGGGCCTAGAAATCTAGTTCAAACAGTTGACGCCCTACTAAACTAATGGTAGGATTTTGGAAATTATTTAAAATACAAGGATCAGGTCGAAGCATTATTTAAAGGAAAAAAAATCTAGGCATATAGACATCAGTCAAAATCAACTCTTACTCTAATAGTTTATTTGCTTTTGGGTAACCTATTGCATTGAGCTGCCCCTTGGAAGAAATAGGCCAGGAGTCTCTGCTTTAAGAATGGAGGAGATGGAACCATTTTGTGTTGAAGCAGTGTGGAAAATGTCCTTGCCAGGAGCTCGGCTGCCTGGCTTCCAGCTGCAGAGCTACCACCTATGGCCCATGACCCCTGAGCCTCCATTTTCTCATCTGTAAAATCTGATCACCACCTGCTCTGCTTCCCACTCAAGGTTATTGTGAAGATCAAGTAAAATGAAGTATCTGAGCAAGCTTTGAAAATGGTGGAGTTCTCCAGATGGGAGATATCATTTAACATTAGCCCCCAACCTCTTGGACCAGAATTGAAAGTAATGAAAACACTAAGTACTCTGAATACAAAGTCATAATTATGGACCTTTTAAAAAATCATTTCTACAAAAAGAGTGAGGAAAACCAAAAAGCAGACTCTTAACTATAGCGAACAAACTGAGGGTTACCAGAGGGAGCTGGGTGGGAGGATGGGAAAAATAGGTGATGGGGGTTAAGGGGGGCACTTGTCATGAGCACATGGTGATGTATGGAAGTGTCGAATCACTATACTGTACATCTGAAATGAATATAACACTATGGTGACTATACTGGAATTGAAATTAAAAACAGGGTCGCCTGGGTGGCTCAGTCAGTTAAGTGTCCGACTTCGGTTCAGGCCCTGATCACATGGTTCATGGGTTCAAGCCCCACATCGGGCTCTGTGCTGATGGCTAGCTGAGAGCCTGGAGCCTGCTTCAGATTCTGTATCTCCCTCTCTCTCTGACCCTCCCCTGCTCACGCTGTCTCTCTCTCTCTCAGAAATAAATAAAACATTTAAAAATTCTTTTTAAAAAAGAAATGAAAAACTTAGTAAATAAAAAAGTAAATAATTTAAAAAATCATTTATATAACCTATATAAGTCAACAGTTGCATGTGAAGTAACAAATTGCCTTAAAGCCGGACGATGAAAGGCAGACATGAAGACGTCAGGGTGCCTGGCAGAGTGCTGGGGCTGCAGGACAGGACACTGCTCTCAAAGCAGAGGCTACATTTACTGTCATGATTCAGAAGAGATATGTGTACGTAACATTGACAGTATGTGTATTGCCATCTAGAGAGTCTGGGCATCATCCTAGATGGGTGAGAAAAAGGAAGACGAAGGCGTGGGGTGGAAGTTCTGGAAGCCTGCGTGCAGTGTCCCACAGGCATCACAGTTCCAGGAGGAGAGCCGTTCTTTTGTGTTAACAATCATCTTTCCCTTTTCAAGTCATTTAGCTTCATTGTTCATAAACATCAGAGGAACATGCAAATTAGAGCATGCTGAAATGCTTTCATTTGGCCAAGAATGTTTTCAAAGAGCTCCCTGCTGCTCGGAAAGAGTCCTAAGCAGCTGGCTTCACTGAACTGTAGAACAAGCAAAAAGATGTTAAATAAGGATTAAGGGCTTTAGACAGTAAGTATAAGATGTTAAATGTGTTCCCTGGCTCATTTGTGGGCTTTTTTCTTAATTCAGCAGGCAAGCTTTCTGTGAAAGAGCAGCTTCGTGGGTTCCCGGCTTTGGGGTCTTTTTTTTCCCTCCCTGTCCAGAGGGAAAGATAAGAAGTTAATATAAAGGAAGAGAAGAGGCAGATAGAAAGCATGCTATGCTAATTTTTGGTCGCCTGCCCATTTGTAAGTTCCATTCTCCTCAGGCCCAATCAGCACAAAGTGATGAGTACAGTTTTATTTTATGAGTAAAATGGGCCTTGGAAACGGGGCTGCTGTCTTTCAGGTCTGAACTCAAACAATATCTTGAATCTGGGTTGTTTGCATTGCATGGCTTGTGACCATGGGGCCTGGCAGTCCCACTCTACAGATGTTTGGCACCTTCCTCCACAGCATCTCAGTCATCCTGAATCCGTCGGCTGATTCTGGAAGTCTCTTTCATCAGCAACAAAATGGGCATTTCCTCTAAGTGAGAGGGATGGCGGCTGATGGGGTAACTGATGAGAAGAGGAAACCAAAGCCTGCCCTTGTAGCTGAGGGCTTCGCAGCGTAGGCTAGAGAACAATAGTGTTTCTCTATCGAAAGCTTTCTCAAGCCTGATGAGTGTGTTCTGTGCTTGACCCCACGTCCCCTCCCCCTCCTCCTGGGATTATGTCATTTAGGCCAGCTGGCCTTTCTTCCTTGTCCCAGCTTCACTGAGCATCTATTATGTAGGAGGGCCCTGGAGAGGGGTCAGGTGGCTCCTCCCAGCAGCCCGCGAGCATGTGCAAAAGGAGTTTCTGACCCAAAGGTTTACTGAGTCTGAGCCTTTTCCTCAGTTTAGCCCACCTTCCTAGGGAGGAGCTAGGAGAGGGAGAGGTGTTCTCCACCCTCAAGGAGAAAGACAGGCATCACGGTGGTCCTGTGAGGTGGAGGAAAGTGCTGTGCCAGAGATTTTCAAACACGCGGCTGTGCATTGGTCAGCCCATTGCATGGTCTCAACAGGTTATGTTCTCATTTTCAGTTAGGACCTTCGTGACAGAGTTTAAATTAAAGAAAACATTTCTCAATACCACCATGGAGAAACATTCAGACCTACGTGAAGTTGAAAATGAGATCACCAGAACAGTAAGTTTCCCGAAAGGCATCTTTCTTTGAGTCCTTTGTTTGCTACACCAGATTTAATTCAGAACTGGGAACCTCGTGGGGGATCAGCTATAGCTCCTGGGCTGTTATTCATTTCCATTATATTTGGGAGGTAAACTTCATGGTGAAATTAAAAGCCTCTTGGAAATTGAAAGGAGGTGCTGAGAGCCAGTGATGCCCAGTAGAAGCACTTCTTCAGTGTGCTCTCACATGTAGCCTTTATCAGTGGCTTGGCACTTCTTTTTCACGTGCAGAGTCATAGTTACAGACAGTTAGATGGTATGCACCAATAAGAACCATTGGCGAAGAGGAAAGATCCTGAAAACCCTACTCTCCCATCTGCAGTTGACATGCTGTGTGACTTTCACCCTCTGTTTCCAAACCTGGGGAGAATGACGTTCTTTTTCTTCGGGAGAGACATAATAGTTAATCCTGATTTTCCAGGGTTGAGAATTCACTGCAGAAATTGTCTAGGGGCCTTTGAGGAGCCTCAGTGGTTCAGCTGGTTAAGCATCAGACTTGCAGCTCAGGTCATGATCTCATTGTTCATGTATTCGAGCCCTGTGTCAGGCTCTGCGCTGACAGCTCGGAGCCTGGAGCCTGCTTTGGATTCTGTGTCTCCCTCTCTCTCTGCCCCTCTCCTGCTCACACTCTATCTTTCTCTCTCTCAAAAATAAATAAACATTTAAAAAAATTTTATTAAGATTATCTAGGGGGTTTTGATTGATTCCTCTTCTTTCCCTTTTTGTCAGGCAGGGGAAAAAATAAAGAAAAATTAAAAAGAAGGAAGACAAGATGAAAATGAAGCTCAGGGGCACCTGGCTAGCTCAGCCAGTTAAGCATCCAACTTTGGTTCAGGTCATGATCTCACAGTTCATGGGTTCAAGCCCTACATCAAGCTCTGTGCTGTCAGCATGTAGCCCGCTTCGGATCCTCTGTCCTCCATTCTCTCTGCCCTTCTCCCACTTGTGCTCTTGTCCTTTCTTTCAAAAAAACAGAAGAAGAAGAAGAAGAAGAAGCAGCAGCTCAGATAGTAAATTTTACGTCTCAACTGCTACCTGAGTCTAAGATTTAGTGTTTAAAACATTGAAAATTGCCATTAATAGAAGTTTTAGAGACTAATTGATTTCTGATTTCAGTTTTCCTTATTCTTTATAGGTTAGAGTATATTAGCCAAAACTTATAGGATTTTTTAGAACTATAGATTTTATTTGCCTAACATTTAGATTCCAGTTCTGTCTCTGTATCTACTGAACATCTACTCTGTGACAGGCACTTTGTCAGGTGCCTCACTCCTATAAGAGGTATTGCCAACACCTTTACAGCTAGAAAATTGAGAGGCCTTGAAGGTTAATGACATTGCCTGAATTCACACAGAGCAGGTGCAAAGTTAGGAAACAGTCTACTAGACTAGCCTCACTTCTGAGACCATTTGTAAGTTTAAGTTTGGGGATCCTCAAAACCACCCTCAGACTTGATAGCTTCTGTAAGGACTTCAGATCTCAGCGAAAGCTCTTAAACTAATGGTTGTGGTTTATTACAGTGAAAAGGTCCCTGTTACAATCAGCTATGGGAGAGACACATAGGGCAGAGTCCAGGAGGATCCCAGATTTGATGTGTCCAGTTGTCCTGTCTCCATGGCGCCATGCACCATGTTAACTCCTCTTGTCAATGATGTATACAGTATTCGTGGAGTATCGCTAACTAATGAAGCTCACCTGAGCCTTGGTGTCTAGAGCCAATATACGGACATAGTCAACTGCTCACATGGCTGACCTCAGTCTCTAGCCCCTTTCGAGGTTAGGCTAATACCATATAACCCAAAACTCCCACATAAATCATGTTGTTAGATATTTGGAGTGGTCCAGGCCCTGACGAAGGACATTCCAAAAGCTTATTGATTATCTTCTGGGAGCCAAGGGCCAGATCTCTGGGCAAGATTAAATTCTTGACTGTACAGTAGGATTTTATGTCTGCTAGCCCTATTTCTGGTGTTCCTGTCACCACCACAGCCACCTCTTGGGCATGCTGTAGGTCAGTGTTGCCCTCTAAGGGAATACAGGGGCTCGGAACCCCATGCAGAGGTGCCGTCCCTCCCAGTATACAGTGTACATACCTGACTTGTTCATTTTCACCCAGGATGAATGTATAATTTCCTAGTGATGTGACGTCCCCACTCCCAGAAACTAGACTAGAGAAGCTACTTTGGTGGCCTTTCCCAAGATACCATTCTGTTCTGAAATGTGCCTTTTCTGTTTTTACCTGGGGCCAAATTTTAAGTAATTATGCTACTGATGAATCATTGCCTATTGGAATATAAAACAATGTCATACAAAGCCAAAAGGTTTGATAACATCCCATGTTTGATCCCATCTTATGAACAGTAAAGTGTGTCTGACACACAGGCTTTGAAGACAGGCGTGTCTGCATAGGTCAAGGCTTTGCAACCTCCCGCTGCATAGAAGGAATCTCTAGCCTCCACTGTTGGGGAAGCAGAAAAGCAGGCATGGAACTTGATGCCCTAGAGGGATTTTCTGCTCTCTCTGAGGGCACAAGGCAAACACAGGGAGAGTCACTCTTAATTTGCTCTTGACAAAGGGGCTCTTGACCCGTGTAATGTAATTTCCCATGGAGAGCCCTTTTGAAGAGGACCTATCTTTGAGTTAGGTCAACTCACTGTAGATTATGAGGGGTCTGTGTCGGGCCTGCCAGAACGGGGGTAGCTGAAACCTTTTCAGTGAACCTCGTTCACTCTGCAAAGTCCAAATAAACAGTTGCCTCTGAGTTTTTTGAAACCCTGCGTCTTAGAAGAGATCTGTTCCTTTGAAGATGTTTTGCATCCAAGGGTGCTGTTCTGAACATCACTTCCTGCCAAGATTTTCCCCACTGATTTACTATCTGCCTCTTTCCCTTTGTACTCAGGGAACAACAGACAAGAGCAGAGAGGCATTTAAGACGGGAACAAAACAAGGACACCACTCCTCTGTAAAGCTGCCTGCTGATAACTTGACGGCTGGAAAATGCCTATTTTATCCTGAAAATAGGAAATTGGTTCTAGGTCTAGGGCTTTGATCTGTCTCTCAGTTAACGACCAACCTGTTCTTCCTTTCAGTTAAATGTGTGTTTTTCAACGTTTCCTGGTTATACCCGATCCACAGTTCATGCTTCTAGGTAAGTAACAGAATTACACTCACTGGTGAACCCATTTTCACAAAGGGGAGGCTATTCTAACATAGGCGACAGCAACAAAACTGGGCTCTGTTTTGACCAAGTCACAGAGTGACCTGGGGCCAAGGTCACTGGGCCTCCATGCTCTCCCATTCCCTTCCTGGAGAATGGAGGTGGATTCATTTTCCAAAAGCCCTGGGGCCCACATGTCATTTTAGGATGGTTAAAACCCTACACACTTTGCCTACAGGGAGTCCAATGCGGTGGTCATGTCCCTGCAAACGACCTTCTCCTTGGCCTCCAATGTGACGCTGTTTGACCTGGCTGACGGGATGCAGAAATGTGTCAACTCCTGTAGGTCCTCTGCTGAGGTCTGCCAGCTCTTGGGATCTCAGAGGCGGATCTTCAGAGGTAAGAGGATGGCCCTCTGGGAGAACTCCGCCTATACAGTTAGACACAGACCTAGGAGAGATGTGTAAGGCACTTGGAACTCAGGCTCAACAAGTTCAACACAGAGCCAGTCTATCTTTGAAATGGGTGCTGGGGTGCCTGGGTGGCTCAGTCGGTTAAATGTCCAACTTTGGCTCAGGTCATGATCTCACAGTTCATGGGTTTGAGCCCCCCCCATCAGGCTCCCTGCTGACAGTGCAGGGCCTGCTTGGGATTCTCACTCTCCCTTCTTTCTCTGCCCCTCCCCTGCTCGCACTTTCTCTCTTTCTCAAAAATAAATAAATAAAGACTAAAAAAACCCAAAAAGAATAAAGAAAGAAATAGGCGTTAAGCGAAAGGCCTTCACATGTCCGTATCTTGGTACATGTGTACGTGCACACACACAGCCTTGAAGTCAGCAGGTCCTTGGCATGTCGCCTCTTCTTTTTCTCCTGTTCTTCATTGGTGTAGGAAGGGGTATAGGAGCTGGTGTAATGAAATCATTTCTCTTTATCTTGAAAGGTTCCAGCTCTCTCTGGGGGAAACAGAAATTCCTGCACAGAATACACATGCTTATCAAAGCCCCAAACCTTCATCGTGATAGTCTGTTAAGTAAAAAAATAAATAAATAAATAAATAAAGCATGGGCAGTATTACCCATCTTGTTCATGTGTTTGCAAATCGCCAATTCACAGAAGCAAGACCGGAATGATGTAGGCCAGAGTCCTCGCTGGTTTCCCTTTTCTTGTTCTCGCTTTATCTGCCTTATCAAAGCTTCTGCAGTACATCTAGTGTGAAACAGATAAAGAGAGGGATTATAGACAACAAGTTTAGCAGGCAAACTTGGGTCTTGGAGAGGAAGTTTTGCCTCTGGGTTGGGAAAACTGCTAGAATTAAAATTGCTTCCTCATGAAGGGGGCTTATTCCTTCTGCTGTCTCATGAGTGATCAGAGTGGACTCTGGTTAGCTCGTTGCACTAGACAGTTAGGACTAGCAAAGGATGCGGACTCTTTGAGCCTCCCCATCTGGTGTCCAGACGCTGGATGTAAGTTGCAGGGAGCAGGTTGGGGGCTGTATCTGCTGGAAGATTCAGGACATTCCCATGGCTCAGGGCTTTCTGAGTGCTGATCCACAGGGCTCTGCTCACAGGCCTGTGCATGCCAGAGCTGGGAAGCTGGGAGTGTAACCTTGTAAACGCTCTAGGCTTTAGCCCATTTTAAGGCTAGTTATTCATGTGGGGGAAAGAAAGGAGCTGAACTTTCTGGAACTGAAGTTGCTATCATTTAGCGTCATTGGGGAATTCACTAAAAAGTTTACGCACCATTATACTGTGCTCTAAACTTTGAGGCAAGAGCTCTCCTTTGTTTCTCTTGCCAGTGATTCAAGGGTCCCAGTTTTTCCCCCCTTGTGGGCAGGAAGGGGACCTTTCTATTCACTAAACACTTAAAGAATGCATCCGATGTGGTCATCCTAGTACCAGGTTAGTTTTATGTCCCCAGTAAATGTGTTTCATGCCTTGCAAATCAAGTGGCCACACCCTTGGACTTGTAAGATCCTGCTCAGGGCAGCCCCGCCCACTCTCCGACCTTCATTTTTTTCTCTTGTTTGGATGTGGGAAAGCCCCTACCTTCCTAGCTTCCTTGTTGAGGTCCCATTCTTTGTTTTGTTTTGTTTTTTAAGATTTTATGTATTAATTTTCTTGGAGCAGCGTTAGGTTCACAGCAAAATTGAGAGGATTTCCCATTAGGTCCCTTGTCCCGACATGTGCTTCTGGTCCCCATTCTGTACCTCGCCTTCCAGAGCCCTCAAAAACAATGACAGCCATGCCTCTTGGCTGAAAACAGGCTCCCTTCTCTGTTTTTCCTCCCAATTCTTCTCCAGGTTTTGCCAACATACTCAGCTCTGTCTCTTGATGCTCCCCTCTCTGGGTGCTGGAGAGGTAGCCTTGACGGGCAGAAGCTGCCAGGTTCTGACATCTGGGTGTTTCCAACATATGGGTGCGCTGGGCTACTCTGGACGCTGCCGTTGCAAAGGCAAGTTTTCGCCCTGCAATTCGCAAAATGTCCATTTCCTCAACTTCCAAAGAACTGCAGCTCTAATGCCTCCAGAGGTTTAGAGTCTTTGGAAATCCCCCAAGGAGTGTCTCAGCCTTAGATTTACATAAGTTCTCATTGTCTGGCAGGCGGATGTTATGCCCAGGAAAGACCATGGGAATTGTGGATGTAGAAAAATCACATCGCCAGGCTTAAAATGAAAATGGGATTACATGTGGTTGCTTTTGATGGATTCATGGCAGAATGATCTTTAAAGATTTTTAGGATAGCAACTCCACTATTGCCGAGGCGAGGCAAGCCTTCTTTGCTTCCGTGTAGGGAAGGGTTGCTTCAGCAGGGCGAGTAGTATTTGCCAGCAGGCTGGATTATTGGGCAGGATGGAAGGAAAATGTGACATTGACTTCCAGAAAATATCTAATCAGGCCAGGCAACGCAGTTTGGCTACTGGGTAAGGCTAGTGCCAGCCTTTTATCCCAGAGGTATTCCTTTATATTAAGGCTTGAGGACTGGCAAAGCTTTCCAAAAGTTTAGATGAGGAATTGTGGGCTTTTGGTACCTCTCTGGCACCAGCTTTACAGTTTGTCTGGTGAGATTTTCATTTTTTTATTTTTCTCTTTTGAATACCAACTTTTCACAATAAACAAAGGAAATTCTATCGCACACACAAGCGGAGTTTTGATTTAGCACACCAGCTTCCAATGATAAAGACAGGAAATGCAGTGTTGAAAACTAAAGGCTGAGTCCTCAGCTCGTCTCCCTGTGACCAGGCCATCCCCCAGGTCCCAAGCTCTCGGGACTCAGAAAAGGAGGTGGCTGTGGGGACCCCGTGTGGGTATCAGCTCACATCACCACTGTGGGGGCAGTCTCGCCAGGGTAAGGGCCAGTACCTGGTTTTTGGATAGGTTGGTGTCTTCCTTAAGGTGGGAAAGGGGAGACCAGCCTCACTGCACGGTATACACATCGCCCTTCGGCGGCTCTCTCGGTTATGTCCCTACAGCAGGAGCAGATATCAGTCCTGCCTTGCTCTATACCTGGCTGTGAAAAAATTGCTGTCCACTATCCAGTTAGTTGCACGTCTTTGTTCCACAGTGTGCCCCACCTACATGTGCCTTTTCATCAGGCTTGGCTCAGTAAATGCGCACTTGTTGTATGTCTCATGTATACAGAGAGTGTCTACTGTATGCAGCCTCAGAGAGGGCCACATGCCCAACAATGAGTGCTTTTTGATGATAAGGAGATACTTCTTTGTCATCCATGAAACGAGCGTGGTCCATATGCCCAGAGCTGGACAAGCCAGGTAGAAACACATGTAGAGAATAGAGCCCTATAAAGGGAAGGAGGTAGCAAGCTTGAAAGACACACTCCTCTACCCAGGTCTTCTGTCTCCCGTGGCAATGGCCTGGTGACTGGTGGCCGGAAAGCACCTTTAGCACACATGTATTGAGCACTGTGTGTGACCATCCCTGTGCAAGGTGCTGAAGCCCCAGAGACGAGTAAGCCCCAGGAAACAGCCAGTGTAATGGGGACACAGGAAACATAATGACACCACAGTGCTGGGCCAGCAGATTATCTTCCACACCTACCCCTGGAATAAATCCTTGGGCAGCAAGCCGCTCTGCCAGAGGAGTGCACAGCCTCCCGTTAGGCCACGGAGACACTGAGGAGACCCAGAGCCGTGCCTCCGCTGAGACAGGTCTGAGCCCCACCGCCTCTGAAGAGGGGGCATAATCAGGTTTCCTGGCTTTGTGCCGGCCCTCCGCCGCAGTCCGTTAGCGTGAGGACAACACCACGGCATTGAGGGCCGTATGTACGGTGGCTGCCGGAGTCGGAGACAGCACCCTATTTCTTCCGTCCGGGTCCTCTGTCCCATGGCATGCAGTGTGACCTGGAGTACAGAGGCCTGGGGGCTGACACAGGCAAGGAGTGGCCGAGACAGCTAAAAGCAGGCCTCTGAAAGGAAACTTGCACCAGGCACATTTCAGAAACTGTTCTCGGAGTGTCTTTAAATAGAAAGTTAATATATCTTGAGGTTTGCAGTGGAGGAGGTCTTGTTTTGTTTCACTGTCTTGTTTTTCCATTCTAGCGGGCAGCTTGTGCAAGCGGAAGACTCCAGAATGTGACAAAGAGACCTCCATCTGCACTGACCTGGACGGTGTCGCCCTGTGCCAGTGCAAGTCGGGCTACTTCCAGTTCAACAAGATGGATCACTCCTGCCGAGGTACCAGCAAGTTCCCAAGGGTCCTGTGGCCCGTCCAGGGACAGGGAAGATGTTTTTCTCTGTTCTAGGTGTGACTGTTCAAAATGGGGGTAACTAGTTCTTGTTATTTTTGCTCACAGCAGGATTAAACACATTATCTCCTTAGAATAATAGCATTATCTCTGACCTGCGCACACTGGTCTGGCCAATCAAATTCAAAGGAAAAGAAGAGAGAATGGAATGCCTATGGCAGTGCTCTTTTTTTTTTTTTTTTTCACTTAGAGGAAGTTAGGAAAATTATTGTTTTAATTCCCAAAGCTCTATTCTATTGTCTGCTAATCTTTGAAAATGGAAACACAGGCCTGGTGTCAGGCCTGTCTCTGTTAGAGACAGCTGTGGCCTAGTAGACAAACTACTGCTGAGGCTCAAGACAGTCAGAGCTTGACTCTGCCTCATGGATCATGTGCCATCTTGGGCAAGATGATCTTGCTTTGCTGTGCCTCTGTTTCCTCTTCTGCAAAATGGGTATGCTGGTGCTTCATCAGGTATTCTGGTAATAAAAGAAGGTAGTGTGTAGGGAGGTACTTTGTAAGCCATCAGCATTTGCCCTTGTTTTTTACCCAGGATGTGGCTGAATTAATGAGTTCCAGTTTTAAAGGTTTCACGAAGGGTGTGAGGGCAGAAACCTAATTCTGCTAGCCTTTTCGGTGAGACCTCAGTTCATTCAGTTTGAACTAAAAGGCTCAGTAAGTACATGGCAAGAATATTACTTTAAAGTAAAATTAATTCAAGTCCAGAACACCGTGTCCCTGACTTGTAAACGACTCCTGAGAATTTGTCATCACCAGGAAAACTAGCGATGTAAAGGCCATCGTGTGGCTTTAAGCCTTGCACCACATTAGAATGTGGACGACACAGTTTTCCTGCTTGGCCAACCCCCACTGGTGACAGGTGCACTGGAATCTGAGTAAAAGTCACATACTGGGGAAAAGTGACGTGCCATTTATTTCTATCAGGACTTCCCAGTAGAGGACTCGTTCCATCAGGAGAGGATAAAAATACATTTCAGGGCAGTGCTGTCGTCCTGAGCCTCAGACCCTCTGACTTAAGTTCACACATACAGCGGCTTTGAAAGTGCGCACCTGCTGGTCCACACGGACACCCTGCAGTGGGCTTTGAAGGGGAGGCTGACCCCGGGTGCCTGCGGGCAGTCCTGAGGCACCGGGGCCTCGCAGCGTTTACGGCACTTGTCGGTCTGCCCTGTGATACAAAGAGATGATGCCTTCTGGTCCCTCTTACCTGGTTTCCTGCCTTGTGTTCATTGCCCTTCTTGGAAATTGGGGCATCGAGTCCTGCTTCATGTGGGAAGGTGACCTCTACTAAAATCAGGCGCTGGGGTGCTGTATAGCTGGGAGGAGGGAAGGCAAAGTGGGCAGAAGTGGGGCACATAGGAGTGGTGGCCCCGGCACGTGGAGTCTCTGGAGTTTCCCACAGCCTCAAGGACAGCCCTGCCACCTCTGCTCCTTGCTGGCCTCAATCGCTGCCTTTGTTTCCAAGTCAGCGATTTCTTAATTGTGTCGCTTACAGACTAGCATTAGCAATAGCAAAGCTGTCAGAGATTTTCTGAATGCAGTGGTACATTCAGCAAGCTTATGTTTATCAGGTAATGACCGAAGATGCAGCATAAGGAAACCGTGGTCAGCTTTCGGGCTTGTTGCCAAGGCCCTACTGAGCCTTGTTTTCTGCAGTATTCTTGTCGCTTAGGTTTTCATCCATCAGGCCTCTGATGAATGGCTTCAGCAGCTCCTTGGGCCACAGCCCTGTTGGCTGGGTTCTGATGGATTGTAGTGACATCTTCTGGCCATTGGTGCTGGAGCACAGGGGTATTTAAAGTAAGTCCCCAGGGCACGTGGCTGGCTCAGTCTGTCGGACTCTTGATTTCAGCTGCAGTCATGATCTCACAGTTCCTGAGATCCAGCCATGTTGGGCTCTGTGCTGACAGCACGGAGCCTGCTTGGGGTCCTCTCTCTGCTTTTTCCCCGCTTGTGCTCTCTCTCAGTCTCTCAAAATAAATAAGTAAACAAATTTTTCTTAAAAATTTTCCTTTTGGACACCTCAAATCCGAGATCAGCCCACAGATAAATGGGGAATAGAGGTATGTAGGTAGGTTTTCTAAAGCTGTACGTTAGCAGGCCTCTGTTGTTCTCTGTTGTACATATGTATGCACTTCTTAATGTCTCCCATAAAATATCTTCACAGTGTCTTTACCAGACTTTCAAAGCATCATATAAAATTGAAGTGCGTGTCCTTCCCGTACACGTACTGAAGTAGGTGTCTTAACTTCCTTCCGTCATGCAGGCCTCTTTCTCTCACTGGGCAGCAAGTGCCTTGGGGCCAGAGCTGTGTCTAGAATATGCTTAGCACGTCGTGGGGTTTAACAAATGTCTGTTAAATTAACAACTGGATGATAGGGCAGCAAGTATGATCGAATGCGATTAGATCTTGGGAACAAGAGTCTTGAAGACTCCACCACTGACTTATTTTATCAAGGGCCAGGAGGCTTGAATTGGCTGTGTTCCGTGTCAATAGGGGAAGCCCAGTCTGGGCATACACACTAGCAGTTGCCACATTCCTTTTGTCTCCCAGTGCTCCACGGGTCAGTCCTGCTGGGGTGTGGAGCTGGGGAGCTGGGTCCTAAGGTGCACTGGGGCTTTCCCTCCAGGAACCCCCAGAACAGCACCAGGCCCACAGTGGCACTCTGTTGTTGATGAATGACGAAGGAGCCCATTTGAAGTAAAGGAATAGCATGACACCAGAAAGTCAGGCCGCTTGTGAGGCTAAGCGAAAACAGCCCAGCCCATCAGCTCGCAGGCTGGGCAACAGATGGACGTTTACGTCTGGCAGGATGACAGCCACAGGGTGGAAAGCTCCCACCCAGCAGATGAGGGTTGGGTGGGTAGATCTGATGTAAAAACATTTCCGGGAAGAAGTGTTCAGAATAGAACAGACTGGTGTGACATCAGCCTGCGTCGGTGCCGAGATGGATGGGGATGAATCACAGCGAGGCCAGCGGTCCTTGCCGCGCTGCCCTGCAGACGGTGCCGTGGGGCGCCCAGGAGTGGCTTCCGGCTCCCACAGACGACTGCAGCGTGCTCTCCACGCCCAGGGAAGCGGGAGTGCTGGGCTCATTCCTTAAGAAGGCCCCACCTGAGTAAGGTCAGCAGCGAACTCAGAGGTGTCCAAGATGGGGGTAAGGGGCTCATTCCTCCTTCCCTAAATGGGATATGATTATGCCCTGCTTTGTTGCACAAAAGTTGGAAGCACCTACTGAAAAGCCTCATAAATAAGATTTAACTTAACAGATAAATTCGGTTGAAGTGGAAATAAAGTGACTGTTTTGCTAAAGCTAAAGGAAAGTGAGTGGGAACCTGGGTGGCTCAGTCAGTTGAGTGTCCAACTCTTGATTTCAGCTCAGGTCATCATTCCAGGGTCATGGGATTGAGCCCCATTCTCCAGCTCTGCGCTGAGCATGGAACTTGCTTAAGATTCCTTCTCACTCTCCCTCTGCCCCCTTTCCCCTGCTCACACACACTCTCTCTCTCAAAATAAAAAATAAAATTAAAAATTAAACAGATAGAAGGAAGAACAGCATTGGGCACATCTACATAAGTTAATATTATTATGCACTAATCCATAACGGACGATGCAGGACGCCTATGAGAGACTTCCTGTCCCAGCCCACAGGTTGTGTGCCCCCCATCCATGCATGGGGCCGACACTCACATCTTACCATTAGCTTGTGTGCTGTGTGTCCAGAGAGTGCTGCTCTATGCTATGTACCTTTTCTTACCCGTGATCTTTTATGCAGTATATCATACATTATTCATGAATCAAATTTCTATCACTTCTTACAGCAATGAATTTGACTCTGAGGCCATTTTTATTGTCTGCTTCCATCCAAGCATGCATTGTAGCTCATGCTGTTCTGTTAGCTTATTGTAGTGTTGAAAGTGTTCCATGATCAGATAAATCCAGGAACTGCTGATCCCCAGAAATGGCTGGGCCACAGCCCTTCAGTCCATGAGCAGCAGTGCCGGAGGGTTCAAAGTTATGTTCTTGCGTGATGTGCTGATTAGCACTCATCTAGGTCTGTCCAGAATCCCCTGCACAGATGATAGGGTGAGCTCCACCCGGACCGTGTCCCAGAGGATGTCACAGCTCCTACTTCCTCTTGGAAGGGGTCACTGGGGACAACAGCAGGTTGAAGGTTTGACTTACATTAAAGAAACCAAAACATCTGTCTTTGTGTATGTGGAAGGATGTGACACAAGGGCCACAGAAAACTTCCAAAAAGAATTCCATTTGTTGGATAAAATTATAGCTACATTTATTTGGTGGTAACTATGTGCCAGGTATTGTGCTAACCCAGTCACATGCCTTATTTTATTTAATTCCCTCCAAGAAACAATAAGGCAGATATTACTAATATTATTATCCCCCCCCTTTTTTTTATAGATGGGAAACTTAGAGCCACTAAAAGGTTAAGAAAGTTTTGTGATAAAATTAAGAGTTGAGTTGGCAGGTTCTAGATAGTTCTAAAGCTATTTGTAGGCTTCTGGTTCTAGATATTCTTGGAGACTTTAAGTTGACTGGTATCTAATAACTGTCATCTTGAGCCAAGGGAAGTCAAGGGACATATTCATGCATTTGCCTTTTCTCTTTCAGCATGTGAAGACGGATATAGGCTTGAAAATGAAACCTGTATGAGGTAGGCTCCGTGCTCATTTATCCCGATGCATTTGTGACCAGCCTTATTTAGAAGTTACTTGGGTAGACTGCCTCCCGTTACTTCTTGTGATTTTCAAAGTAACTGTTGTTTTTTTCCTTGGTTGACTTGCAGTTGCCCATTTGGACTCGGTGGTCTCAACTGTGGAAACCGTGAGTATGCAAGGGTCTGGAGTTTCGTGTGGGCGGGGCCAGCGTCGTGGTCCTGCGCAGGGTGTGCGCCTTCCCCTTCCTCCGCTTCCTCTCAGCCCCATGCCGGGAGGTGTGGGGAAAGCGAGGGCTCCCCAGGGGCTCCAGGCCTGGCCGAGGAGATGAGCACATTCCTGAACAGCCCTGACTGTGGGGTGTTAATACAAGAAACTAGGTGGGAGTGGGAGGCTGAACAGAGCACGCCTAGCAGACTAGAGGTGCCTCCCCAGTATTTCTTGGAGGGGATGGAACTGGAGGTTTGGGAAGACTTCAACTGGCAGGTGTAGGGGGAGAAGGAATCCAGGCAGAGGGAACAAGTTGAAGGTCTTGGGGCAGCCTGAGCTGGAGGTGTTCCGGGACAGTCTGTGTGTGGTGTGGCTGAGGACAGAAGGAGAAGAAGGTGGAGTGGAGGGTTAGTTTGGCAGAGGATAAAGGGACCAAGCTGTTCTGGTGTTTGATGGCCAGCCTGAGACTTTCGGCTCTAATTAGTATCTATGGGGGAAGCAAGAGTCAGAGAGAGGATAGCAGTTGATCAAGAAAACCAGGTCAGGCTGCAGTAAGGAGGGTGGATTCAGTTCTTTGAGAAAAGCTGTTGCGACTCATTTAAGATCACTTTCATTGATGTTTTGTGATATGGAGAGCTGAGAAATGATTGAAAGAAATTCTGGATATAGGATAAAATAGGAATAATAACATTCAGTACTTTATTTTAGGATAGCTTTGTCCCTCATCCTATAGATGAATGTACCAACGGTCTGCGTTCAAAGTTTATTGGACCAAAAGTAGACATGACCTTACTTGATATGTGTAAGAATGCCCAGTTCCTGTTCCCCAGTAGTATACCTGACATTTTATGTCTTCACTGGTATTTTCTTTGCTTATAAAGCTTTCTATTAGTAAGTTTCATTATTGCACTTTCTTTGAGCATAAATAAGAAATAAATAAACTAAAATAATAAAGTAAAACAAATTCAATACTTAACTGACTTAAAGCTATATTGGTGTGCCCAGCATGGAGCCACTTTCAGGCCAGTCTAGAGACTTGGAGTTACATGTCCACCTAGGATTACCAGTGATTTGGGGGCATTGGCTTTATCCTGACTGCAAACTAGCAAGAGGTTACAGTAGATACCCTAAGAGAAAGACTGGGGAAACATTTCTAAAAACAAATATGTCTAGAGTCATATAGAAGTTCAGAATTAATGTCATTTGGTTTTTCGTGTGTGTGTGTGTGTGTGTGTGTGTGTGTGTGTGTGTTTAAGTAGTAAGCTGAGGCCATGGAGAGGTAGACAACCCTATCATATTTAGTAATCACTAAGGATACCATCATGCCATAAAACCACTTAAGCACAGATATTCATCATGATGGACCCAAGTCATCGCACACCAAATGGTGTTCCATGTTATTATGAACTCGTTTCTACTTACAAAGCTTGTAACACTAAATGTGTGAAGGCTTTCCACACACCAAGCAATTCTGACATTATCCAGAGTCAGTGTCAGGTACCGTCTCTGTGTCCCAGGACTGCCCCTACTTCAGACACCAATCCCAAGTCCACGCCTCTGGGACTTCTGACCAGCCAGTTATAAATCCGGGGTTCCCACGACCCCTTCCTCAGGATCAGTAATTTGCTAGAACCGCTTATAGAATTTATAGATACAATAGAGTTGTATCACATATGCAAGAAACTAAATAAAAAAGAAATTTATAGATACATATGTATCACATATGCAAGAAAAATTATTTAATGTTACCAGCTTATTATAAAGGATGCAACTCAGGAATAGCCAAATGAAGGGATGCCGAGGCAGGTATAGGGACAGGTGCTGGAAGCTTCCATGCCCTTCCAGATGCACCACCTTCCCCACTCCTTTAAGTGTTCACCGCTGCAGAATTTCTTGGAACTTGATTGTTTAGGGTTTTGGGGGGAGTTCCAGTACATAGTATCAGTAAATTATATCATTGGTCATGCGCCATTGGAGGTTGGAGGTGGGATTGAAAGTTCCTCAGCAAAGAGCCCCCATTCCTGGAGGGTTACTTCATTAGCATAAACCAAGGTGTGTCTGAAAGAGGCTCCTAATGAATGACAAAAAATGTAACTCCTACCCCTTTCATCCAGAAATTCCAAGCGTTTTTAGAAGCTCTTAGCCTAAGAACCAGGAGTGGAGACCAAATAGAAATTTCTTAGTATATCGCAGTATCACAGGTGTACTCAGTGTAACAAGAGGAAGAAGTTATCATACATGACGCTTTTTAAAAATTATTTTTAAATATCTTTGCTTGAAAAGGTAGGCTTCACAAGCTCCTCTCTACTTCCCAGATGGGCTTGGATGCTGCCTGACTCATGAAACATTTAATAAGGCCAATTAGATCTTCAGGGGCAAAAAAAAGTAGGCTTTTGTTTTGTTTTGTTTTGTCTTTTTAAATTGAAGTACAGTCGACACACAATGTTACATGAGTTTCAGGTGCACAACATATGATGTGACAAGTCTATACGTGATGCTGTGCTCACAAGTGTAGCGACCATCTGTCACCATCCATCAATACTTAACTGACATAAACAACACCATTGATTACATTCCTTATGCTGGACCTTGTATTCTTGTGACCTATTCATTCTGTAACTGGGGGCTTCGGGGTTTTTTGGTTTTTGTGGGTTTTTTGTTTGTTTTTGGGTTTGGTTTTTTTTTTTTTTTTTTTTTTTTTTTTTTTTTTTTTTTTTTTAAACAGTATGGATAGCAGTGTATATTCCTTTATAAAAATCACTGTTTAGATGAGATTTCTCAAGTGGGTTCAGGATCTTTATGCTTGTGTTCAGGAAGGTATCTGTGCTTTACAGGGGCTGCCTGGGGTACCTGGCAGAATTACCTGTGTTCACTTTCTAGTGTGAATCTCTCTTAAAACCAGAACTGAACCATAGAACACTCCTAAATTGACTAGAGAATAGAGTAGCCTGCACATGAAAATAGACAGAAGAAAGCCTAGAACTTTCGATGTAGAAAGAGGAGCATAAATAGGCAAAACATTTAGGATAATTTGAGACATGTTCACCAAATGCTACAATACTAGAACTAAAGAGCATCTATAGTTTTTTAGAAGAGACTGTGTAGAGCTAACAGCAATTGCACCATAAGCCTCTGAACCTTATTCTAAGACACTGTATGTATTAGAAATGGAGAAGCTTTAGATAATGTCATAGAAGATGGCTTTGGAAAAATTTGAGGGAGGGAGGAAGGCTCAAGATACGTATCACATGTGCAAGAAATGTACTTGAATAGAACCCCATCGGGTGGCAAAGGGAGAGTGCAGAAAGCACCTGAGGAGTGTGGAGATGTGGTGGCTCTGGGGTTAAGCCAGGGAGCAGGAGGTAGGAGACGCCATCTGCCACATCCCCCTGGTACTGACATGCCTCTCCGGAGCCAGTACTTCAAACCTCATTTGGTCACACACAGCTCCCTACATAGGCTTTACCAGAAAATGCTCTGATTTCTCAGTGAATGGAAGAGTGATCCCAGGAGGGAAAATGGATATAGGGGAAAGCCTCATAAAGTGTTGGGGGAAAGGGCATGAACTGCAGGGCATTGTTCTAAGTGGAATTTAGCAATGTTTTTTCAGAGTTCATTAGAGACTATGCAGGTCTGGAGATGATATACCTCTATAGCCATTGACTGTTCTGTAAGTTCCTGTGTCTCCCCGTTATGTTTGTGGGGTCTTGGAAGTAGCGGGGATATTTCTCTCTGATCCTGTGACTTCTTTTCCTTCCGCTTGCATCCAAGTTGTTAACATTATGTCCAGCAGAGGGCAGGCTTCTGTCTGGATGACTTGCTTCCAGCCACCTTGTGTTGGTGACTTTTGTTAACTCCTTGATGGTATGCGAATATCACCGTATGATTTTGATATCTGTTTTAGTGTTGCAAAGCAATCAACAGTGGCTGATAATAAATAGCACCTGCCACGTATCCCTTTGAGATCTCAGATCAGCCATCAGTGCTGGTTAAGGAATGGGGAACATCTGAATTTCATCCCCATTTGTGGCGATGGCACCTTGTGAAATCTGTGCTAGTCACTCAATGTCTTGTGCCAAATAACAGGGCTCTGACCACTCATTGCTGTCACTCCTGCTGTCACCACCAATGACAGTGAGTGCCTTCTTGGGGCTATGGCTTAGGCTAGATTCTTTGCAGGCAAGAAATGTTTTTCTCTGCAGACTTCTTGGGGCCATGATCTACCGAAGCCCAGTGAGGTGGAGGGCTCAGGTTTGCTTAGCCTAATCTTGAGATTCCCTCACTCCTACATTCCTGGAAGTCATCCCACCTGGCTACATTCTGGGTTTAGGCATAACTTGTGACCTGCCTTTCTGAAAGTTTCTGTTAGCTTTCGAGTTATGGGCAGATTTCATTTCCTGATCCTTATAGGGAACATCCTTCAAACTGCAGAAGTCAGGATGAGCCCTTCTTGCAAACCCTTACATCTCAGAGGTAGCACGGGCCCAGCTGGACTCCCACAAGCACCTGGTGGGGCCACCTGCACCCCTGCATTCACCCTGCAGCTCAAGTCCGCACCTGTCACTGCACTCCTTTTTCTTTTCTTTCTATGTCCAATAAACAGCGACCTGTTCATGCCACAGATCCCAACAATTCTGCCTTCTAGCACTTGTACTGGCCGCAGAATTCTCTTACAGACTGTCAACAGAGATGCCCCTGCTTCTCCTTCTGCCCCACCTTTCCTCAGGTGCCCTCATTTCCTCCTTTGCTTGGATTTTACATGTACTCCTCCTTGCACTTCCCACACCATCCTGGTTTGCTTCACCTCTTTTCTCTTTTTACAATCAATTAATTTTGTTTTTTCATAATATAAAATAACTTGTGCCCACTAAGTTTCATTTTTTAACTCCAGTTAATTAGAAAATAGATAGGAGGTGAGGGAAGAAGGAAACTACAGTAAACACTCTCATTAAACCCCAC